AAGTGTAACTTATGGCAAGTGTGACTTATGGCAAGTGTAACTTATGGCAAGTGTGACTTATGGCAAGTATAACTTAGGGCAAGTGTTACTTATGGCAAAGGTATTATGGGAAGTGTAATTATGGCAAAAGTATTATGGCAAATGAAACTGAGCCTCTTCGATCCTGAGCAGTTAAAGGAAATTAAAATCTCATCCTTTGTGGGTAACCCTGTACCATAAATCAGACGTTCACTGTACAGGTTAAAGATTAATTTAGAGTAATTATTATTCTTTAACTATTCTTTTTTTTACTCACAATAAACCGTTCTGATATTTCTTGGAAAAATATGAAAAATATTTTATTTGGCGCTAAAATAATGGATTTTCTAGAATCGTATCGAAGAAAATAAGTTTTACAAAGTTTACAGCGTAATAATATGATTTATTATGTACTATATTGTTATATAAGAACTTGGTTAAGGATAAGTTTACAAAGTTACAGGAGCGCTACAAGAGCTAAGAATGATTAATTGAGTGAAATTATAGAGAAAAGTATTCATCAACGCCATAGTGTGATCCAAAGTTGCAAGCTTTAGAGCAAAAATCGATGAAACTTTACAATTTCTTTTTAAAATTCCAAAAGATTTTTAACAGTGAACTGAATACACACGCTTTAAACTGACTACTAATTTCTATATCTTTACAACAGGATGATGTACAGTGTACAGTGTACACCTTTGATATTTCAAGCCTTGATCATTTTATCTACCAGGATTCACAGTGTAAAAACAGAAGTCTATAAAAGCAGGTTGCAAAGATATGAGACTTAGTAAATTAGAGTCTGAAGCAAGTAATCAATACCTTTATTTTTGTGTAATGAATATGTTATTTAAAACCCCAAATTTCAACTATATTATTATTGAAACGAAATCTAAAATGATAAAGAAAAAAAAAACAATAAAATACATAAATATATCTTACATAAAAGCATTTCCAAGAATGTTTAATTAAACTCAATGAATACCACAAGATTGTGGGATACTAAATAGTAATGTGAATACTGTTTATTAATGAATAAGCTAAAAAACCTTAATGGGACTATACGTGTAATTTAAAGTGACCCGAGATGGAATTTAAAGAATTTGAGCCGCGGTTTAAATCCGCCAAACCCCGGTTTAAATTCAGCGCCGGCTTAAATTTTGAAACATTTGATACAATTTTAAGTGGAACCAACCATATTTAAACCGCGGCTTAAATTTAAACCACCGCTCAAATTCTTTAAATTCGGCCACTGACTATTCAAATACAACAAAATTTAGAATAATTTTATTTGTTGAAAGTATAAGTGCAAGTATTATGAGAGAATTGTAGAGGATTCATTTTTCATTATTTTCTTTATTTTCTAGTTTTCTCAATATCTTTTTCATGTTCATCTTCGGAAACTATTTTCTCCTTGGTTGCAGTTAGAAGAAGACTCCTAGAAACAAAACAATAATAAAAATGGCGCCAAAATAAACAACTATGGAAGGTCAACTTCTACACTACAGTGTTCTTTAAATAATGATTTTAAATTGGCAATTGTTGTCCTCGTCATGCTTTATAAAATGTTGCTTTGTTATAAACTTTTACTCTGTTTATAGAACGGGATCGTACAAACCCAATCCTTTAATTGTGTGTCCATTTGGACTATAACCCTTGTCCCCTGCATTCAGTGTTAAATTTCAATCTGGAGAATTTGAAAGTTTTGGTTTTACTTATTAATTAAAATCTGACAAAATTAAATCCATGTATTTTTGCCATTTTTGAATTTATAAGAAGGCCGGACCACAGGACCACATTTCCTAATTCCAAAATTAATNGTATTCCTTCTCCCTGTATTCCTTGTCATTGTATTCCTTCTCCCTGTATTCCTTGTCATTGTATTCCTTCTCCCTGTATTCCTTGTCCTTGTATTTCTTCTCCCTGTATTCCTTGTCCTTGTATTCCTTCTCCCTGTACTTTTGTTTCTTGAATCCTTCTTTCCGTTTTCCTATTTTAGTTTTAATCTTGATTTCATTTTCCTCCACTTTAATCCTTTCCTATTTAAGTTTACTTTTTCTTTTTTCCCTGTCCATCCAAATAATGCCCATATTATTTTGTCTTCCTTGTATTGATGGCCATTTATTGTAAAATCTAATCTAGAAAAAGTTCTAACAGCAGTCATATCATGATTTAATTTGTTTAGTCAATCAATCTCATTTTCTCACTTGGTTCCGTTCCTCTTTTCTTTCTACGTTCTTTTTTTCAGATTTTTCCTTTCGTTGCACGCATAAGAAAACTCTTCAGGACTTTAGGTTCCTTAAACACTTTTTGTATGTTGATTCCCCGAGGGGGGGGGCAGGGGGATCCCCCCCCATCTAGAGCTTAGAATCTAGGGTGTATAGACACCTTTGTATAGAGTTGAGTTGAGTAGAGATACAATAGTTTTGACGTTGTTATTATCTGAAGCAGTAATGAATAACGCTCTCTTATGTAAATTAGGAACGCTCCTCAGTGCCGCCTTTATTGAGGGCCATAGGGGGCCGCCTNTATATATTCATCTATCTATATTCTATATATTCATCTATCTATATTCTATATATTCATCTATCTATATTCTATATATTCATCTATCTATATTCAATATATTCTTCTATCCATATTCTATATATTCATCTATCTATTTTCTATATATTCATCTAACTATATTCTATACATATCATCTATCTATATTCTATATTTTCATCTATCTATATTCTATATATTCATCTATCTATCTATAGATAGAGAAAGCCTTGATTGGTAAAATATATTTTAATACTTTTCTGTTTTTCTTTTAATATCTATGTTTCATGCATTAAATATTTTGAAACAAATGTTTTTAACAAATTTAGAAAAATATATGTTTGTGGCATATACTGTGATATTGTTTACAAAACAAAATGGTTTCTGAATGAGATTTTTCCCTATTCTAGAAAGGAATTGGCACAAACTCAGTATTTTTAATACCTTTGCAGCCTGATAGTGTAACCCTTTGATATTTCAAACTCAGATTATTTGATCCAACAGAACTCATAGTTTGAAATATCTAAGATCTATGACATTTGGTTGCACAGATAGCGGGACTATAAAATCTGAGTTTGTGGCAAGGCTCAATTCCTTTGTTGGCAAATTGTAGATGTGAGGCTTAAACTATGAATTTTGTGAATCTAAAAGAAAAAAAACGATATAGGTAAAATAGGTTTTCCAAATAGGATGTTTTTTATTTATTCGATACAAATGAAACAATAATTTATACAAGATTAGCTTATTCTTTTTTTTAAATTGAAAATAATCACAAACATTTTTAAAGCCATTAAAATAATTTACAGTTTTTTTTGCTGAGTGAGTTTTTTTTAATCTGCAGCTGAATTATTTTTATTACTTTTTTTCTGGTTCTCACTGTAAATACACTGTAAATACCATCAATATAATATATATCCCTCTAGCTAAACGAAAACATATAAATATACATATATATATATACATATATTATATATAACAAGGTTGTGTATTTATTGATGGATAGGTGGCTTGCCTGTGTGTGACACTGTTAAATTGCTTATTGATGGATTACTGGAGAACACCAAAATTAACGATTTTTAAGCCAAGATTATACCTTCCATGGCCGGCATATTGTATTAAATTAAAGTTTATTTTATAATCCAACATCATCCAGAGAGGTTTTATTTTTGAATAAAAAATGAAATTTTAAAATAATTTTTATGCTGGATAATTTATCATGATTTTGAGGAGAGTATTTTTGACTAAAATTGTTCAACATGAACTGAACAATTTAATGAATTTTCCGTAATTTATCTGTTCTCTATTCACCTATTCCCTTCTCAGAAATTCAGCTCAATTTGCTCCAATTGCACTTTGATGCATGATTTCTTAACTTGAAGCTGCGTAGAATTCATATATAGCGCTGGGTAGAGTCTTGCGGGAAATATTTCCCGGATTTTCATTCTCAATTTTGGCGGCGGAACGAGGAATGTCTGTGAGCGGCGGGACATCTAGTGGCGGATTTTACAGAACAGGCGCGACAACCGGCGCCTCCCTGGCGACAGTGGAAACGACCAGGGTCAAAAGCGGACTGGGACACTGGTCGGACCGGTGAGGGTTGAAGGTGCCGGGATGATAGTGATGGTGCTCATGACAAAGTAGTAGTATATCACGCTTAGAAAGAGGGAGAGGTGCGACCAGTAACACTACAGCCGTCATACTGAGAACACCTCACATAGACACAAGTTCAAGTTATTATCATTATTATTAACTTATACTAATTTAAAGAAAAGTTATATAAACCCAGATCACAGTGGATCATCAATGCTATAGCTAGCTGATTAACTAACTATGCCTCCTTGTGTTGCTGGACCTACTATGGCGTTTTCTCAACAATTTCTTCCTGTTCACAGACCAGAATATAACCCCTACGGTATGCCGGGGTACTCCCCCTTGGGACCCACCAACTCCTTCAGCACTCCTGCAGGATACCAGGGAATGTTTCCCAGGCTTCCAGGGCTTCCTTTCCCTGGGTTTCCCCAACGGATGCCCCCACCAGAGGACGATAATGTCCAGGACGATCCTAAAGTTACTCTTGAGCATAAAGAACTCTGGGAGCAGTTTCATAAACATGGAACTGAGATGGTTATCACCAAATCTGGAAGGTAACAAGAAGTTTTTTATTGACAAATTTAGTTAAGTTGTATGGCCCAGTGGAGTTTTTTTTTAATGTTATTTTTCCCTTTACTTTTTTTTGCATACAGAGTTTTCAAATATTTGCATCTTCTGAAATACACTTTTTTCCAGTGCAGTATTGAGGTGTAAGATTTTGTGAAAATCTATATAATTATTTAATTCAATGGATTTGTCTGGACAAAATAATTATAGTTTAAACAAACACCGGAGGGATAACAATATGAAAACAATATTTCTAAATCAGTGTTTGAAACCCCTGTCATTACCCAGCAGGGGTGCAGCCAGGGTGCTTCAGGGGCTAAATTTCAATCCAAGATTATATCAGTGTAATGGTTCCACGGCGCCATAGTAGGGGGCCAGCAGGGTAGGGTTGATAGGCGCCTGGGGAGGGGTGTTAGGGGGTGGGGGGCGCCATACCCAGGGGGGTTCAATGGGGGTGGCGGCACCCAATGTGATGAAACTGGCGCCCTAGGACAGATGGATTGTACAGTGTACACTGAAGGGAATTGAACTGGAAAATGTAAAGGCTGATCTATATGGATATACAACTCCCCCCCCCCCCCCCAATAATCCTCCCAATGCCAAACATACCCCCGGCCCCCCTCCCCATCATGTTATATTCATACTTCTCTTATTTTAGGCAAATGTTTCCTCAGATGAAGTTCAAACTATCTGGATTAGACTCTAAAGCAAAATACATTCTACTTCTCGACATTGTGGCCGCCGACGATTTTAGATATAAATTCCACAACAGCTCCTGGGTTGTGGCCGGGAAGGCGGACCCCGAGATGCCGAAGAGGATGTACATCCACCCCGACAGCCCCGCCACCGGGGAGCAGTGGATGAATAAAACTGTTTCCTTCCATAAACTCAAGCTCACCAACAATATATCAGATAAACATGGATTGGTAAGTCGACATGTTTAGTTTTTACACGGTTCTACCCACCTCCATATATGGTTATGTGTCATTTTATCAGATGACAGTTGATTAAATATCATCTGAAGGCCGCTAGCCTGAAACTTGATTAAGCACGTTAGACATTGCGCGCCTTGGTGAATGAGTAATTGCACCTGTTAGGCGGGGTGAAAACGCGCGTGATGAAAAGGGTGTGCAATTATTTTCTCATTGTTGATTAAATGAGTTGTCAGGTTGGGTTTTTATCTGGTCTTCTAGCTCTAGGTTTATGTTCTATGTCGTTCTGTGGGACAAAGACATATATTTCTTGTTACAACGATACTCTGCTTTTCTCTACAACTAATTATACCGGAGTAAAAACTAGTACTCAACTAAAGATAGACCATAATCCCTTTGCTAAGGGGTTTAGAGAAAGTGGTGGCTCCAAAACCCAACGAAAGTAAGTTTAAACTTTTTCTTTAATATGCTTAACTCTCCCCTCTCCCTTCTATAAGAATCTTATGGTTCCTATTATCCCTTGAATTATTTATTAATCCACAAGAATCTCAGCACAAAATGTGGGAAATAAATGTTTTTCTCTTTAAGAAAGCAACTGCTGGGATCCGGAGAAACCATCCAATCCTACTCTGGGATTAAACATGAACGAACCAGTAGTCCAGGGGAGGAGGAGAACATTGACGTGGTCAACGATACTGATAAAGATTTAGGTAAATATTTATATTTTCTATTCTATGCTCCCCCCTCCCTCCCTCGGCAGCGATAAAATTGCAAAATTTTGGCATGAGTTGCTATAATTATAATCTTTAAACCTAAAGTTTGCAGAATAATTGCACATCTCTGTAAGGTTACAAATTATTAAAGTGCTACTTTTTGTTCTTATTCCTCGGCTCAGGGCTCTGATTAGAAAGAAATTAAAACCTATTCTGTGCAAGCTTTGCCAAAAATCATTTCCGGTGAATTTTTGGGTTTAGAAATCGGTGTAATGACATGACCCAAATTGAAGGAGTTGTAACGAGTTGAAAAACCCACAAAATTGGCTCTTGAACATATTACTTATAAGCCGGTGGCCATTCAGAAGTTTGAAATTACAGGATGTAGTGGGACCCCCCATCCTCACTACCCCTCCCCCCTCCCCCTCCCTCTCCTCATTTACCCAGACACACATTCATTCCTAGTTAACCTTTAAACAATCATTTCAACCACTAAACATCAACAAACATAACCTCAAGGAATAAGTGAGTGTTTCAGTTAATGAGAAAGCCAACAAGTGAGTGAGTGAGTTCGAAAGGTTTTGAGTGAGTGAGTTAGTGATTAACTAACTAATTAAAATATATTGATCCTTTGAATCCTGTTCTAATAAACAGATTAAAACTATAATTGGGGTAAAATCGATGATTTAAATCCATTTTTTAGAGAATTGAAGGGTCCACTCAATGATAATTCATAAAATATATCTTACTAATTTTCTTTTTCTCGTTCAGATGTTGGCAGAACTATATCTCGAAGCCCTGTCCAAGAACCGGAGAATAAATGGATGTCTCCAACCAGGATTAAAGAACAAAAACCTTTCCGTGGTTTTGACATATCATCCCTCATCAGGAAGGACGAGGACGAGGAACCTAAATCTCCGGAGAGAAAATCTCCGGTTCCTAGTCCAACCAGCAGTCCCAGGGTCTCCTACGGACCTCCGGTGGAAAAATCCTCTAATCCTTATTCTAACATATTCAACTCTAACTTATATCAACAATACCTCAGTCAGTTAATTAGCCAACATTCATCACAATCCTTCCCCCCATCCCTTCCCCCCTTCAACCCTATGCTCCTTCAAGCCCAGCTAGCTATGCATGCAGCCCAGAGCAGTCCATTCCTTGCCAACTACAACGGTATTGCAACCTCTGTACTCGCTGAGAGGATGAAACAAAATAGATTTTCTCCTTACCATTCCGGATCTCATAACACATCTTTAAACACCTCTGTCTCCTCTTCTCTTTCTTCCCCTGGAGCAGGATCAGCGTTCATGAGCTTACCTCCTCGAGGTTCAGGAAGTCCTCCTGTTTCTCCTCCTCATAGTTCAGCTTCTCCTGTCCAAAGTCCCAGTCCTCGATATAGTCCTGTTCCTACTCCACCTAAGAATGACATTAAGAGTATAGAAAATATGATTAACGGACTTAACGGGGGAGAAGAGGGAAGATTTAGCCTGGCGCATGACTCGAGAAAATTTATCTAAATTTGGAGAAAAATTGGAAATTTTCGCGGATTTCGCAATTTAGTTGTTCGGGGATTTTCTATTTTTCCCACAGAGCAGCGCAGCTCATATCATTCAGAGTTTAGACATTAGCTTTTTGTGTCATTATCATCTGTGATATCATATTTGTCATACTAACCAAAGATGGATAAGTTGAGGTTAGAAATTACTTGTGCATGGATAAAATATTTCTCAGTCAACATTTGTCATGCAGTAATTATCCATTCTGATCCTGTGTAGTTCTCTCGTTCTTTAAATCTGATGTTAAGTTAAATGAAAGGGTTTGCGTGAGAACTGAAATGATTATAATGTGAGATTTCACATTTTATTTTCATTTTTTCTTGTTTTTTTTAATAAATTTATTTATATATTGTGCCCACATGCATTCTTGTATTCCCAGTGTTCGTTTTTTTAACATGTGTCATTTCAATTTATATTAATTAAATTATTAATAAATTTAAAACATTAAATATTATTTGATATATTAGCGTGAGAGAAATGTAATGGATTTGAAGGTTTTTCTTTCAAATTCCTAAAGCTGCAAAATTTGCTCTGAGCATTTTATAATGTCTGCAATGTCCAAAGCTGGCACGAAGCATTGAAAATTTTCGAGTTCTGCACCGAATCCAAAAAAGATTTTATATTTTGGACGATGACGCAGATTCAATAGAATAATTTGTATTTCTAACCCTGGTTGGTAGGAAGCCTGTATTTCTAGATTTAAACATCATGATGATATTGCGAGAAATAGTTCTTTTTACAAC